TTCTTCTTCTGTTTTTCAGGCACATTGTGTACTGGTATATTCACAAGTAAGCTGTTGTCTTTGTTGCAACTTCTTCTGCTTAGTGCCCATATGCTTTCTTCTAATGGAATTTCTACCATATTTATTTCTCTATCTACTATCTGTTTTCTTCTTTTTTGTTTTTCTTTTTTTTTAATGTTGAACTTTGTCTTGATTCTTTTCTATCTATTTCTATATCTTCTTGTTCTGTTTCTTTTATTTGCTCTTTCCTTAATTCTTTTTCTTGTATCAGTGGTTCTTCTTCTAGTTGGTCTGCATTTTTAATACTTATCTTTACTTTTGCTTTTCCTTTTGTAGTAAAGTCTTTTTCTTGTAATCTTTTTTTGCTTGTGTTGTTCTCTTTTATCTTTCTTTCGATTCTTCTTTCTGCCTCTTGTTCATCTTCTTGCTTTACTTCTTTTTTGCTTATTTCTTGTTGCACTATTTTTTTATTTTCTTGTTCTTGAGTTTTTCCAAAATCAATTTGTATTATATTTTTGTTCACTTCTGTAAAGTTAAGTTTCTTTTCTGGTTATTCTCTTTCTGCTCTTTTGATTAATTCTCTAGTTTTCCTCAATAGTGCAACTTCTGCTAGGCTTTGTTCTATAAGCATGGCTACAATTTTATCTTCTCTGTCTGGTATTATATATGTACTATTTGACTGATTAAAGAATATCTTATTGTGTATTCTATTCATTGCCCAGTATGCTCTTTTTATGAATATTGTTGAAAGACTTTCTTCACGCTTTATTAATTTCATATTCTATTTATATTTGTACTCTTCTGATTGGTTCTTCTTACTTTGCTTATCTATTTATAGAATTTATGTATATCAATATAAGATTTGCATATCTATTCTACTTTAGCAGCTTGCACGTGTCTGTTGTTGTTTTGCTGTTACATGTTTTGTGTAATGTAAACAGATCTACATTACAAAGTCTAATGGCAATTCCCTACTACTGTCATTTTCAAGTGAGTTTTTTGTTTTTCTTTAATAACTATACTATTATTTTTTGCAAAATAGACTTTTCTTCTATTAGTCTATTGCTTTCTCTGTTGCTGCTTCTTTCTGCTTAGAGCTACTTAAGGTGTTTTTTATTGCTGTTTTTGCTAAAATCTACTTTTTTCTTTAGTGATTTTTGTGTCAGAGTAATCAATAGGAAGAGTTTCCTCTTTTCAATTTAAATATATATATTATACTATTTTTACCTTTGTAAAGTTTACTAAAACTCCAGTACTTATCTTCTTAGTATTTTTTCTATTATTTCTTATTAGCTGCAACTTGGAACTAATAGTTTCTGGCCAGACTACCAATTCAAATAGCTTGGTATTATATACTTTTATATTCTTTTTCTCTAGTAAGTCTAGTGGTCTGGTTAGTTATTTGCTCCTTTATACATATTTGACATTCAATTTAATGACTTGTTATTATGAAGGTGTTTTATAAGCTTTAACTAATCTGATAATATTGTTGAAAGTTCATGCTACTTCTTTACTTAGAAAATTTTAAGTTATCTTGATTCTTTAGTCTTCTATACCTAATAATTTTATTATAAGTTTGCATTAAAATCTTATACAATACTGATTATATATTTCTCTAAATATATATAACATTATATTTTATATAGATGTCTTAAGTTTGCAATATTGGTAAAATCTAATTTGGTATATCTAAGTTATAGCCACATGAGACCAACTGATTAACAGAAAACAGTTACTATTATACAAATATAATTTCCAAATTTCATTGTAAATAGGATTTGAATTTTAGATCTACTACTTAAAAAATAATCTAATTATTATACTAAAATTACTATTCATAAGTTTTCATTTTTATATAAATATACAATTATATTATTAATAGTATTTAGATATTATTATATCTAAATATTCAAATAACAGTATAGTTTTCATAACTTTTCTTTTTTAGTACAATTATATGATTATACTAATTTAACAAGTATTAAATACTTTTCTATTTTTGTATAGATACACAATTGTATTAATAAATACTACTAATAAGAATTTTTTTTTTTAATTTAAGCAGTCACTTTAGTACTTTATTAGAATTCTTAAAACTATACAGATTACAGAGAATTTTTCTAATAACTAAGTCTAGCATTATTTGGCTACCTTATTGGTATCTAAGTGTAACCTGTTACACTACTTCAAACAAAGGTATGCTGCTTGTTTGACTGCTACTCTACAATTGGATATCACCAATCTGATAATGTCTTCTTATAAGAAAGCAAAAAAACAAAAAAAAAGATTTTATATATATAAAAAAAAACCAGAGATATAGAGATAAATGATAAAAGATACAAAACAAGAAATAAAAGGGAGAAAGGTAATAAATGAGAAAAAAAAAATATGAAACTTGTAATTTATAAAAAATCAGATAATTATGATTTTAAGTCTATGTCAAATATGAAATTTGCAATTTACAGATATCAAACAATCACAATTATAAGTCTGTATCAAGCTTGTAAAAATTATAAACTATATTAAATAGAAATTACTTTATTATCTTTCTATTTACTTAGATTATTTAAACAAAAAAATCAAAAAAGAGAAAAAAATCTTTAATTTTATTATAAAAAATCAGTATAAGATACTAATTAGTTTAGATACAATATTTGACAGATTTTCAACAGCTTAAGGTATGTGATAGTCATGTTTGTATTATTATATTGTTTCTGATTTATATTGTTAACAATCCCATTTGGGAAATAAATATTGCTAACTGTTTTGATGATTTTATATGTTGATTTTTAGGAGATGATAAACTGAATTATTTACTTTTATAAAATATTCTTTAAAAAAAAGTGAAAATGCTAGATAAACCAAGTTTTAGTTTTTATAAGTTTTGAACCTTTGTGGGTGTTCCTTGTAGGTTTTATAGTTGTATAGAACTAATATATCCAACTTTGTTGTTTACTTAATGAGAAATTTTGACTTTTATTAACTACTTCTTCTATAGTTCCAAAATGCTCTTTAAGTTATTACTACAAGATTGCAACTCTTTTTCAACTCTATTTCAATGTCTAACAATGCATATACAATACTCCAAAAAAGTTTTTATAAAGTTTAATATATTAATTATATTATTTTACTATAGTTCAGCTTTTTGGAAAGTTTAGTTCAAGTGATTATTGGAAAAAGTTTTTAATTTTTGACTAGTAAGAATTAAAAAAAAACTTGTTTTTAAAATTAATCTTTCTTAATTACTAAACTAATTTATTTACTTGTCTGATATGCATTATTTTAAAGTTACAATTCTGAAAACCATCAACTATCAAGTTTCAAAATATTAACTATTATGTTTTACAAAATTAAGATTATTAATTTTTTTTATTAAATAATTGTAATTGCTAATTAATTTAAGTTAGTGTTAACTAGAAGCTAGTAATTTTGTTAGTAGTTTTACAATCACAAACAAAAACCTGCTTTATTTAATTTATCTAGTTTCACACAATTCATTCATTTACAGAAATTTCATATCATTTAAGTCCTGCAAACCATTTTTTTTAATAACTATCATTTGGCATAAAGATTGAACCAGGACTACTATATAATTTCTCTAAACATAGTAAATTATCTGAATAACTTAATAATGACCCTGGATAGAAATGGTTGACTATATAGTTACCTGAAACATACAGTAAATTACTCGGGCAAAGACTTTCTCAATGAATTCAATCTCTAATTTAACAGGTGTTAAATAAATCCCCAGTATTTGTTATAATTATAAGGATTTGTGTAACTACGTGAAAATCGTCAAATTAAATAAAAAAAATCGCTCTTTTTTATTTAAAATATAGTGCATACTAAACAATTTGGAGAAGATGCGTTTTGAAATTTAACATCGTCATATTAAAAAACTATAAAAAATTGTTGAATTTCAAATCGTATCTCTCAAAATTTCACATATTAACCAAAAAATTTACAAACTTGCTCAATACATCCTATATTTTAAAAATTTTAACATATAATGATTTACATAGTACATTGGATGTGCTTTGTGTGATACTTTATTTTCCCACGTATTACTTACGAATAAGTTATATTACTTTTCTCTTACCATATATGATCCTGCGATAAGAAAAGCAAGAAAAGGCTATAAGGGGACTGAGATAACGTTCTTTATCAGTAATAATGTTATTAAAATTCATATGTTAGAGGGACTTGGAATCTCAGAGATCGTCAAGATCTAGCCTTAACTTTTGCAGTGCGATCGTCGAATCTAAGGGGGTTTAAGTTCACCAAAAAACCTATAGAATAGATTTAGTGTTTAGAACTTATGACCGAGTATACCTGCTTTTTGTAAAAAGGACCAGGGATGGTTAGGTAACATAATTACTAATCACGTAATTTCTTCTGGCAGATTTTTTAGATCTAGCGAATGAACGGTATAGAAATAAGCGATTCTGGCTTTTAAGGTAGGTAAACAATAACGTTATTTTTTGCCCGTATATTTTTTTAAGTAATGTATTTACTGTTTATTACAATATTTTTTTGTTTTTAGGAACGAAAATGAGCACTAACGACAGCACCATCCCCAAGACCAACGAAATCGTGATAAGTAAAATTCTGTCTACCTTTTTCATACACCTAAAGTTTAAAAAATCATTAAATCTATTAATTAACCCAGTTTTTTTAATTGAATGCTATAAACAAGATCTTGAGGACATAAGAAATCCCTTTTACAATGATGTGCATTGGTGTAAAATGTATCTTGAGTTAACTAAAGGATTGTCTAATAAAGGACCTTCTGGTTATGAGGATTAATAAAATTATATAATCGTGACATATTGTATAATAATTTTTTTTATTTGTATATTGTTGGTCCGGCAACAATTTTTATTAAATAAAGAAGAGGGGTCTCAGCCTCGCTATTTTTTTATTTTTACACGATTGTGTTAACAAGTATTGGTCATTAGTTTTACTGTTATTTTGGTTTTTATTAATAATTTTTATTTGTCTCACGAAATGAGGACGCTTTGCATCTCTTTTTGTCTAACTTTTATTGCTGTAATAAATAAATCGGCGATATTTTGTGCTGTAATTTTGCTAGAACCTGTAATAATTACTTCTAATGAGAATTAGGAATTTGTATATTAAATACATTATTGGTTTTATTATTATTTTCTTTAATGAATACAGATAAATCGTGTCTTAAGTCTTGCTCTACTCTTCTGTTATATGGAATTTTTATTCCGGTATTTTGTGCTTGATCGATAACAGGATTTACCTTATTTGTATTTCAGAAAAGGAAGATGTATTTTGCATTGATCCTTGACTCTGAAGGTTCTTTTCTCGATTCCTTTCTCTTATTTTATTACTAATGTTTTCCGATCTAGAAATTTATAGATCTCATTATTTTCTGAAGATTTAGTTTCCATGCAAATTGATGCGGAGCATTGGATCGTTGTTTCCTGACATACATCAGGTTTGAAACGTTATCAGATACATTTTCAGATATATCTGAAAAAGCATCAGAATTTGAAGTATTATCAGTTATATCAGATGCGGAAGTATATCGTGAGTCTATTTGTTTAGGGTTATCTTCAGAGTTAGTTTCACAGAAAGAAGTGATATTAGCCGAAGATTGTTCTTGTGGAATGAGTGTACTTATCTGTTTGATTTTCCCGATATCGTCGTCTAATTTATCAATCTGGTTTTTATTATCACTTTGTGTCTGATTCTGTTCCAATTTCGTGACTCTATCTTTAAGCTCAATATTTTCAGCAATGAGACTGGCAGCATCTGCTTTATTTTCTTTTCTAGCTCTTCGAATCGGATCTTAAGTACCGCATATTCTTCCAAAGATTGTTTTAATTTTATATTTTCAGCTTCAGCCTCTGCGAACTTCTTTCTAAGTTCATCAATCTGAAGAAAAAGTCTGAAATTTAATTCTCTCAATGATTCTATTGTAGGTTGCGTATTCACCATTGTTTTTATTTAAGATATGAGTATATTCAATTCATCGTAAAGATAAAAAGTTACGTCCGCGTTACAATTTGTAACGCTGACGCCAAGAAAAAACTTTGATCATATGCGAATTAATATACATCGATAACAATACAATAAAATAAATTCGCGAAATACACACGCAAAAGTAAAAGTCGGCTTTATTAATATTTAATAGTTATGTAAGGAACGACGAGAGTAGGAGTATATATAACGAAATTAATGGTTATGTACAAGGTCGTAATAAAAGAAGAAATCAAAAGGTCTTTGTTGAAGGGAATCGATGGCGAGATTTAGGAAAATTAGGGGAAGATGGGATTTATCTGTTAAAATAATAGGATAACTTGATACTTCGGCCGCTTCTACTGCTGCATCTGAAAAAATTTCCACATAGGGACCTACCAGGATACCGACCGTTCCTGACCGTTCTTCACATACGACACCTCTAAGCTCACGGACGACGTGGGGTCCTATATTATCGGTAATTTAACATATATTCTTTATTATATTAACTAACATACAAACCTATTTGATCATCCCAATTTTTGCACTGAAAAACCAATGGGATATCATTAACTTGCGTACAGATAGATGAACGTATATCAACCCCTCCATCGTTGGGTCCCCTATTAATAATAATAACAAGTAAGTAAATGTGTCATTGCCATTAACGACTAAAGAAATAAACACCGGAATATTCTACGGTTGGTTTTTTCAGAAGTCAGCGTGTATCCTATTCATCACTCGTCCTGGGGTCCCTCTCCCAGCCTTTCTATATTATACTATAGATGCAACTTTTCGGATACGAATAGAAGAACGTTCAACTGTCGAACCAGTTGGCCACGAAGAGCTTTCATTCTATTCGATTTTACACCTAGTGACAGCGTAACTTCAGATACACGATGACTCAACAGATACTCAATGAGAAAACTCACCCTGTGTACGTATAGTCCAAACCAGAATATTTTAGAATTTCAATAACGTCCCATTCTAATATTTTTCCTTTTAAACTAGATGAGTACCTGATAACTACAGCAACTGCAACGGATTCAGGCATCTTTTAGAAAAAAATAAGCTTTCGAAAAAGCAAATCATCAAAATTTTCACATATATTTATTATGATATATCATCACTCCTTTTCACTGGGAACATTTCTAAAGAACGTGCTTAGATTACTCGAGTTATTCATCACGAGAAAGATTGTTATAACAAAAAACCATTTTTAGAATGTGCCAAAAACCTTTATATTCATTTATTTCTGATCGCATATCAAAAACACTTTATATAGAAATTAAAAGCACGTTTTTTATAATGATAAGATATAATCGTATGCCAATCAGTTGTGTACAATTTACCAAATTTGATTGTGTATGACAATAAATGTTTATCTTTCTGAATCGATCCGTTAATATTAACGAGTTTTTTGCACTGCAGGGGATTTAGAAAATTTGAGCTATCTTAGTTTAGGACATTCTGGTTAGGGATGTAAACCAAACTATTCGGGACGGTCAAAACTAGTTGACAATTAGTATTGCACTAGGTATTTACAACTTTTTACTTATTGTCAAAACCATGTGAAACTAATTGTCATATAGTTTGGGTCGTCCCAAATAGTTTGGTTTACATCCATAATTCTGGTTTCTATAAATATTCTGGGCTTCAGTGCCTAAAAAAATAACAGAACTTCATGCATGTGTAAATCAAAAATTCCGAAAGTAACAAAGGACAAATTGAAGGTTGCCCGTCTCACAAATAAGTTATGCATAATGATAAGTCTTATATACGGAATTATTCTAACACATGTTAAATGAATTTCTCGATAATGATAAATTTAAAACATCATTACCTAACCGTTAACTGATTTATTTTTATTTAACGTTAATTAATCGAGAATTATCACATTCACATCTATATATTCCATCCACACTTTTTTACATGGTTTGCAATATACAGTAGATGTGAATGGTGATTGCATTCGTCACAAACTTTACATTCGTGATTCCATTCTCTAAAAATAGGCCATTTTTCAATATAATTTCGCCTTTTCTTATTGTTAAGTGTATTATTACGTTTTTTCATTGTAATATATAACAAAAAATAATATATACGTGGCTAAAATTTATTATACAAACCTGTAATAAGTGGTATTTGTGTTTGTGACCCGTTTACAAACAAACTATACAGTGATAAGCCTCATAACGATAAGGTCAAACTTATATATGTGATATTTCAAATTTATTCCATTGCCAATTTAATATATATCGATATTACAGAAAAAAAAATTTTATTTGGGCTAACAGGAGGAAACGTACCCGATCCAAAGTGAATCCTACACACGGTGTGATCAATTAAAACTAAAATTATTTATTTTAGTTTTATTGATCACACCGTGTGTGGGATTCACTTTGGATCGGGTACGTTTCCGCCTGTTATTTGGGCTGGCTTGTATTGATTTCTTTAGTTTGATTGGGCAATTAACAAATTTAGTCATATGATAGGACAAATCGATTAGTTGCAACTATAGTTGGCAACTAACCGATTTGAAAAATTTTTTTATCAACTCAGAACACTAATTGTGATCTCGAGATCACAGTATTACATGATAATAGTTCAATAATAGCTGATTATTTTGATTTATTTTTTATTTTTATTTTTTTTAAAAAAAAGAGAGGTCTATTCTCTATCTCTTTATTAATTAGTTAATTTATATATATAAGATATATGTTGAATAAACTAAGTTAGAGAAGATGGAGGTAAGAGTTACTTTACTCTCAATCTATTCTTTACTAGAATGGTTGGTAAACTTTTAGTCTATGATAAGATGACTAAGAGAAGATTGTTCATGTGTAATATAATGATGTATTTTTTCATTTAATAAGAAAGGTAAAATTGGTTTAGTTTTAACTAATATGAAAGATTATAAAGGTAATGAGATTGGAAAGACAAAATCATGTTGAAATATTATAAAGAGAAGTCAGAATTCTTTATATATTACAGAAATAATATTGTAATAAATGAAAAAAGTATATTTGTATTTGTGTTTGTTATTTTTAAATAATTTTAAAATGTTATTGGTTATTAAACTTAATGGTATTTGTTTGTTGATATAGTTCAAGATAAAGGTTCAAGTAAAATTATTTATATTATAATAAGGTATTTCTAGTTTGTTTACAATTTTGTATACAACATATGTTATTAATGTTGTAATATGTAAATGATTTTGAAGATAATTTAAAAAATATATAATAATTTCAGGAGTATTATAACATTTTGAATAGTAATAGTTTAAATATTTAGTAATATTTTTTAGTGAAAAAAAAAATGTGTAGATAGTTCTTTAGATAGTAATTTGATTTTAAAGTTTTTTAGTATTAAAGATGAATCAGTTATTAGGATTAAGAGTTTTTCTCTATATGATATGTATTATATAGATAATAACTAATTGATATTATTTTGTAGAGTATACTAATTATAAATTTATTGTTAATAGAATAAGACCAATCTGTTTGTAATTTGGTATATCTGTTTTATTTTAGTTTTTAGTAAGTATGTATAAGAATTGCTAAGAAGTTTTGAAATGAATTAGTTATATAAGAATTTTTGTAATATAGAGTCTAGTGAAAAAATATTATTTTGAGTTTCTTGAATTTTTTTTTCCTAAGTAGTCATAGTAGTACTTTATTAAACCATTTGTAGCTATAAATATAAATACAGAATATTATTTAACTTATAAGTCTACCATTATCTAGTCACCCAAATGATATCTAAATGCAATCTATTGTACTAATCTAGTTAGGACTAGAAATTATAACTCATCTGATCCCTACCCTACAATAGGATACCACTAATCTGAAGACATTTTCTTATAAGTAAGAAAAAAACAAAAAAAAATGAAAATGATTTTAAAGTTAAAAAAGTAAGAAATAAAAATAGGAAGTAAAATAAAACTAACAAAAAAAAATAAAACTAATCTATAAGAAGAATAAAGAAGGAAACCTGCTAATAGAATAAAACTCTATTTTATGATTGCTGCTCACTACAATATTTTTATATTTTTATGAACTATGGCTATTATCTAAAAACTAGGTACTTTTAACTAGAATGAAAACTGTATTCACTTGTAAAACAGAGTTTGAACTAGGCACTTTTCATATAGGAGATTCTTCAAGTAGATGAACTATTGTACCAAGGTTTAGAGTGCACTTAAGCAGTTTAATTCTTCATAAACCATTGTAATCATTTTTTAAAAAAATATTATGTATATGATCTTAGAATATATGCATATCTCAATATATTTTTAGTCTTTTTGAATTAAATTTTTTTTTGATCTGCTCTATATAATTGGCTGACTTATATGTTTAGTGTGTTCCTTATTTACCATATCCAAACAAGCATGTAACTACAAAAGAAAGTATTGTACAATATTGATCTTTTGATAGGAGTGAGCCAAATCTTCACTTTTCAAAAAAAAAAAAACAAAAAAAAAAACAAAGAGGAGGTATATTATTGTTGCAAAGGTTCAAGTTAAGGAGAATTTTTCTAGTTGTTCTTTTTTTTCTTTTACTTCTAATATTTTTAACCAGAGAATTGATTTTGTCTTTACTTGCTTTCAGAAGATCCTTCCAGTTTGGATACTAAATATGTGAAGGAGTTTACTAAATAAAAGCTTAACCCAAGGTAAAAACCAGTCAAGTTTTATTTACTCCTTAGTATATTATATATATATATATATATTTTTTTTTTTTAACCTTAGGCAGTTACGCTAGTACTTTATTAAGATTCTAGAAACTATAAAATTATATAGAAATTCCTAATATCTAAGTCCAGCATCACCCGGCCACCTTTATGGTACCTAAGTGCAACCTGCCGCACTATCT